CAAAAGGACTTGTGTGTGAGGATTTATAACTCTAAATAAATACGGAGTGTTTCTGTAAGTGGAATGGGGAAATACACTCTCCCCTTTATTTTCTTTGCAGACTTTCAGGAAAACTTCTCAGAAAGTGGGATTAGAGAATGGAAAGTGGAGCCTTTCTACAAGTGGGGTGGGGTGGGGGAAATCCACTCCTCCTTTCTTTTCTTTGCACACTTTGTTGCTTCTCATTGTCTGGCGCATCTCCAGGTGATTTTTATTCTGGTGGGGCGCCAAATTGGCCTCACACCCAAATTGGCCTCACACTGTTCTGGACCCACTCGACCATGCCTACCCAGTGGTACCCACCTGGCCATACCCACCGGGCTGCGTTCATTCTGTATGCCCACCTACCCATCCCGAGTCAGCTGCCCTGAGTCTTCCATGGTGCACCTAGTTCTTCATACCGACCTGGTAGAATAGAATAGAATTTTTTATTGGCCAAGTGTGATTGGACATACAAGGAATTTGTCTTGGTGCAAATGCTCTCAGTGTACATAAAAGAAAAGATACATTTGTCAAGAATCATAAGGTACAACATTTAATAATATGGTCACATCAATCCAGCCATGATCACCTAATCACTGTAAGTCATCCCATGTCAGCAATAGGATGGGGTTTAATTAAAAATGTTTATTTTTCTTATTTAATTTATATATTAAATTTATATGCTGCTTGTCCCTAGTGAGTCTGGGCAGTTTAAAATAATCAACTACAATTTACTAGTAGTTATTTTTATTATGAAAAATTATACTGATTCTTAGTATTGTCCAATGGTAAATAATAGCTTCCAGTTTCTTCGAGCTGAAGAAGTAGCCATGCATCACCCCTTCTGTTATGAAGTCATTGCATCATTTAATATTTTAAAATCTCACTGAATAGTACTTCAATATATTCCTTCAGTTTTCATTTGATCTCCTTTGAATTTATTACTATTTGTCCTTTGGTGCCCTTTAGTTCTTTAAGGTTATAACCTCCTATGGCTTCTTGTGTCTAACATCTCCCTGAAACTCCTTTTTGAAATGTTTGTCCGTTGGGGCTTCTTTTTACTTCTTGGCAATTTCCATGGTGGTTCTAATATCCAGTTTGCTTTCTTTCTTACTTTTTCTTCATAATCTGTTTATACAGACATATAATTACTAAAGTTAATTACTAAAGTTCATTTCATACGTCTCCTGGTTCTTTATTAAAGAGGGTCAGGACTTCAAAATGATTTTGGGTGTTCTAGAAAATGATGGGCGTATGTTCAAGATCACATTGTGGAAGCTGACTGGCTTTTTTCTTTCGCTTAACTTGGAACTTGCATTGATCTGTTCCACAGTCAATATCTGACTATGTCTTTGATGCTAAAGGTGGAAGAGCTCCTCCACCCACAGTCAATTTGATTTCAATATACCTACTTGATCTTTTTGATGTCTGTGTATGGAGGTATCATTTTGAATGCTTGAAGACATTGTCAGCTATGAAGAAATCTTTGAAGTGACAAAAAGTGAGAAGTTGGTTGTTTTTTGTTTACTAAACCATATAGTCCAATTATATTTTCTCTTTTCATGTTTTTAACTTCGGCATTCCAGTTTTTAATCTAAGAAGCACATTTCTGCATGCATATTCTGTAAATTTTAAATTAAACTTGCTCATCAACTGCATCTACCCTATTCCAAAATACGTGTACTCCCTTTTCTCTTAAAATAGAGTTAACATTGATTTTATAATGCATCTTATTTTAATATTCCAGCTGATTAAAAAAATAGCACATGTTTGAACATGTATATAATTCCACTTGGTAAATATCAGAGTCAACCTTCCAAGTTTCAATCAAACAACTTTAATGTATTAAAACACTAGTTATCTTTGTTGAGATATTCGGATATGGCCTTTTGAGTGAGTTCAACAGTACCTTTTACAGATTCAGTTTGTTTATTTATAAAATATAAGTATCTTATCTGCATCTTCACAATTACCTTGCATGTAAACTGTATCCATGTCCTCATTTCCCCCATCTTTTTTTCCTTTGCTTCATCCCAGTTTGAATCATGGATTCAGTTTAAACCATTCCATGCGTCTTTCAAAGTAAGCTGCAGTTCATGAAATTTTATACTTTTAATAAAATATGTTAGTCTGAAAAGGTGCTGCCAGACTCCTGATCACTGGAATACATGTGACTCATTATATGGTACACTGGTGTGCCATTAATCTTTAAATATTTACTTTATTTATTTAATGTTATCTTTTTTAAAAGTAGGCAAAAATATATTACTACTTTGGTGTTAAAATTCTATATATTGGAAAATCTTTAAAAATTTATTAACAACTTTAAATCATTTTATAAATAAGCTCATTTTTTTTTCATTTCTGTGACATTGCACAAGTGTGTGTGTGTGTGTGTGTGTGTGTGTATGACTTTTATTGGCAAATTAAAACTATTACTGTATCTGATACTAATGAAACTGCCAAAAGAGAAATAGAGGGGAATAGCAGGACATAAATATTTGATGAAAACACAATTCCCCTATCTCTCAAATCTTAAAAGAAATATCTGAACTGTGACTTTCATGATTGAAGACTATCCTAAGGCAATCTATGGAGATGGTCCTACTCTTACTTAGAAAAAAAAAAAAAAGAACCGGTTTTCTGTACTCTGAAAAAGGAAAGCATACAAGGCAATAATGATTTGATGATAGTGTAATGAATTTCCTGTAAAAAGGAACTAATAAAGCATTGCAGGGTAGACATCTAGTACAATAGTATTTATATAGGACTGAAGAAGAATGGAAAAGAAATTGCTTATAAATTTAGTTCTTCGTCTTTCATCCTTTACGCTTTGCTGCAGTTTCAACCAGTTTACACTGCAAATTCTTATTCAGTAATTTGGCCTGAAGTCTTGTGAATCCATTGTGGAAATGACATCAATCTTTTGCCAACATAGAAGCAGACATTGCATATATTTCCAGCTTATTCAGAAGCACAGCTGACACTCATATTCATACTTTGTGGCACTTTGTAGCTATTTGTAGTTCCTAAGTGCAGTAGCACTTAGACGTATATACCGCTTCACAGTGCTTTACTTCTCTAAGCTGTTTGCAGAATCAGTATACTGCCCCCAACAATCTGGGTCCTCATTTTACCCACCTCGGAAGGATGAAAGGCTGCGTCAACCTTGAGCCTGGTAAGATTTGAACTGCCAAATTGCAGGCAGGCAGCAGCAGGAGTAGCCTGCTGTACTGCATTCTAATAGTCAATTCTGCATGAGAGAATATATCCCAACTACTGCATTCTCAATAAAGTCTGCCTCAAACAAATTATGTGTTATAAAAAGAACTGGTACTAAGGTAAAGCTGGGTGGCTAAATATTAGATGTTAGGTGTGTATTCCGGTAACAGTCACTGCTGCTTCTCTTAAAGTGTTTAAGTGGTAAACATAAACTGTTCATTTGTTTTGTTTGGTAACAGAAGAACACTTAAAACTTATTCAAGGGAATAAATGTATTTGTTATATAAGGCTAGTTTCTACATTTCAGTTTTTCACAAAAATTAAATAAACGATGTACTTAGCAAGGGTAACTGGAGGATTTTTTTTAAAGAATGTGGGTTAGAATTATCCTTTGTATACCCATAACAATATTGTAAAGCAAAATTATGTTTCTTGAAATGAAATATTTTCCTTGTTCTTAATTTTGCTAGATTAAACTATTTAATGCCATATTAAAAATGTTAAAACATTTTATAAGATATGATATCACATGGCTTGTCTAACTCCTGCTTCAGTTCTAGAATCTCTAATAATAACAGAATAGCAAAATAACAGAGTTGGAAGGGATCTTGGATGTCTTCTAGTCCAACCCTTGCTCAAGTAGGAAATGCTATACCTGTGGTGGTAAACCTATGGCATGCATGCCATAGGTGGCACATAGTGCCATTTGTGCCGGCACACGAGCTACAGGCAAACTTACCTCACTGCGCATGTGCATGCCTCACAGCTCATTTTTCGGCTGGTTTGAGGCATTTTTCAGCCTCCCAAAGGCTTGAGGAAGGCTTCTGCAGGCTTCTACAAGCTTTGTAGGCCGAAATCTAGCCCTGTTTCATCACTTCCGGTATTTTCGGAAAAACAGGAAGTGATGAAACGGAGCTAGATTTTGGCCTGCAAAGCTTGTAGAAGCCTGCAGAAGCCTTCCTCAAGCCTTTGGGAGACCAATAAAGGCCTCAAACCAGCTGTGAGGTGAAATACAGGTAAGGGGATGGGGGAGTGGGGGATTGCACATGCATGCGTAGGGGATGTGGGGGGGGGTGCGCATTGCCTTCTGGGTCCTGGCATACAAGTGTGAGCGTGTAAGCGCATGCACAATTTTTGACACAGGAGCTACCACTGTGCTATACCAATTCAGATAAATGGTTGTCTAATTACTTCTTAAAAACTTCCAGTATTGGGGTGCCCACAACTTCTGGAGACAAGTTCTTCCACTGATTAATTGTACTAAGTGTCAGGAAGTTTCTCTTTCATTCTAAGTTGCTTTTTTTCCTTGATTAGTTTCCATTCATTGCTTCTTATCTTGCCTTCAAGTGCTTTGGAGAATTGGTTGACCTCGTCTTTTCGTGGCAGTCCCAAGTTCAGTACCATTGAACTTTTGAAACAATCATGTTTAAATTTCCTCAAAATGCTTATTACTTGTTTGGTCATGATTTATACATATTGTAAGAAATTATTATTTATTACATTCTTATTTATTATTTAGTCATCTTGTATTATATCTTAAATTGTTTGAGATTCTAGTCTTTGTGTTATGTTACAGATAAATTACAGAGCCTGATGGTGATATAAATAGGGCACAATTTAAACTATACTTACATTTTCCTTATTTTCCATTTGTTATATCCAGAGGGATATATACGATAATAGTAACTTTCAAACAGTAATATACAGATTTGATTAAAAAAGACAATGAAAAGTATTATTTCTTTTCTGTTTTCAAGCACACAGATTTATGTCAGTACATGGATAAACATCCTGGAGGACTTCATCCAGACAATGTGAAGGTAGGATACAACTTTTCAAATAAATATTATGTTACTGTCTTACAGTGAGCAATAATATATTGTTAATTTAAGTAGATTAATTCTACCCTTCAGAAAACAACCAGTCACCATTAGCAGTTGTGAGATTGGGATAGTTGCTGTTGTATATGTTATGGTATCAGTGGCAAATGTAAATTATATATTATAGGTTATTAATATCATAATATTAATATGAAATGTAATTTACATCTTTTGCATGATGATACTATGATCATTCACCATCCCCTGCAGCTGCTAATTTGATGCCAGTGAACAATGTAGTTATAAACTTTTAATCATTAGACCTCCTCATTTGGGTTTTTAATTATATTGAGGGCTTTTTTAAAGTGGGACCATAACAACTACCTAAATTTACCTAAATTTAAATTTATTTATTTAGTCAAATATTCCCAGGTAAATAGACAGGTTTGCCCTGTCTACTTACATGGAAATCAGCCAAATTATTTTAGCATAAATGGAAAGTCAATTAATTGTACAGCAGTATATATTTCAAAAACCAACATATACTATTTATACAAATATAAAATTCTTTTATGTTTTTTATTAACAAATGTCTCAGGAATGTTATGTATTATCTGACATATGCTGCAGTTTTTTATGTAAGTTTGCAATATAAATTTCTTTTTAAAAAAAAGATGGCTTGACCACAAAGATGGCTTGACCACAAAGAAGCCTGCCAAAGCATCTAGGTAGTCTTCTGGTATTTTATATGATCCATGGAGGAGAGGAAAAAGTTTATAGAACTGTTGCTGTTTATTTATTTTGCTATTATGGCAAATACAGAACATAATATAATAGAGTATAATATTAGCTGAATAAATGATTGCAAGGTGCATTTATTCCATTTAAAAACTACAGAACTTGGCAAACTCAATCACAATTCAAAAATATAGAAATCTTTCCAAATCTTTGTAAGAAGAGACCTATGCAGGGTGATGTGGCAGTGGAATTTGAGATGGCTGATACTGGTTTGGAAAAGGCATGCTAGTGTATATGAGTAGCAGGGGAAATGTGAGCATGGCAGGACCTGTGGTGTCTGCTACCAGGTGGAAGAGAGTGTGCAAGGCACATGTGGCAGGATGCACAAATATGGCAGGGCTTGCAATCACTGCTGCCATATAAGAATGGGAGCACAAGTGTATACAGGTTGCAGGGGCATGAACGTGGTAGGCCTTGGGGTGGCTGCTAACCAAGTGGAAGAGTGTATGCAAGAATGTGTGAGTCACTGGAGAGACACAACACAAGAACTGCAAGGTTATTACTCAATGACAGAGAGCATGCAAGTAGCAGGGGGCCATAGAGTTTGTAATATGGGTTTTGGGGTGGCTATTTCTAAGTGGACGAATGCACAAGTTGCTAGGGAGGATGCATGAGTGGCGGAGGAGACACAGCATGAGTGGGTGTATGGGAATGGGTGCAGGAGATTTGCCCAAGCAACTTGCAACCTTCCCTGCTAGTTTTCTTGTTCATTTTGTGAAACCAACAAGGGAGTCACACATTGCAGTCATGTGACCATGGGATACTCCAACTGTCATAATTGATAGTTGGACGCCAGCTGTCTAGATTGCAATTATGTGACTGCAGGGGTGCTAGGATGACTGGCACTTTGAATATTAATCACAACCACTACTCCTTCAGTGCCATCATAACCCTGAACGGTCAATGAGTGAGTGGCTGTTAACCGAGAACTACCTATAATATTTGACAGAATTGTACTAGCAGTTCATTCAATCAATACTATCAGGCTGTAGCATGTGCCTCTAGGTACACATACTCTCCATCTTTTTACATACCCTTCAATATGGCACGCCACAAGCAATAATATAAATTTGTAAATAGCTCCAACCAGGTAAAATAAATGGCCTGATATAAAGGAAACAGCTGATATGTATTTGAATTTTCAACAGTATGTATTACGTTTCCTTCAGAACAAACAGACTTTGATTTTTGTGCTACCTATAAAAATATTTTTAAAAGGTTTTGTAGCAACTAAATTTTGTTTGTGCTATGTATTTCTGCCAACATTTTCCTTAAGTAACAGTTACATTGCCTAAGAATATCTGTTTTTGAAAATGAATAATTGTAGCTCTTAATGACCAAATTAGATATTAACAATCAAAGTCTTTGTCTTCTTATAAATATTTATATTTTAAAAGCATAAGTAATTATGTTTGAAATTACAGCAAAACAATATGGTATTAAAAAGTCCTCTGAACATGTATGCAATTCATTAATATTTGTGATGCATATTCTCTTTAAAAATAAAGATATAAACATCTAAAAGTGCATATAAAGCATATTTCCAAATATTGTTTTCCAAAATATCTAATTGCTTAAAATAATATATTAATAGGCAGTGTTTATGTGGGTGGTTGTATGCTTGTTTACCTAATAATATATCTGTTAAGATAAATATTTAAATTGTAAATAAAAGGAATTATTTCCAAAATTTCTCTTATGTATGCTCAAGTACTTCTCTGCAAGGTAAGGAATGAAACAAAGACTTAATTCCAATCAACAAACTATTAATATTTTATCACCCATTGGAAAATCTGAATTTTCTTGCATAGAGAAGTACTTGAAAGATATTTATTGATTTTATTAACATGTTTTTCTTTGTCCATTCTTAGAACTCTGCCATAAAACATTTTAATGAAGTTTCATGATTTTGAGCCTATTAAACTGAATATAATAAGTTAGTCTGTTTTGCTTTTTTTAAAAACTTTGAATAATAATTTTTAGTGAATCAGTGAATATATAAAAATAATTCTATACATAGTTTTAATTTTTGTTTGTAGATGTGGTTCAGCATTACAAACTATAAAAGTTATTTTAAAACATTATTTAAATGTATGTGGGTGGTTAATACCTATAATTGCTTCTCTTCTACTCACTAAATTTGTTTGGAAGAAATTTTGGATCCACTCTGGTAATATTTATACTTGTAACTTTTCAAATACAATGATCTTTAATTTCTATGTCAGTACATAAAAGCTGTTTTAAAAGTTAGATGGATACACATCAAAAGTTTTTAGTGTGATAGAAGTCAAATTATTAAGTCACAGGACTAAATTTTGACATTAATTAAAGTGGATGTGCTGAACAGAATTATTTTCATTTAATGTAAATGATAAGTAGCTGTTTCCCATTACTCTTCAGAGGATAAGCAGGTGCAAAAAAGGATGGGATAATATTATGTTAAATTAAAGCTGCCTTTTTCAGAGGGCATTGAAAATTGATTTTAAATAAGCTGTTGTATAGTTAAATACATAATCAATGTTCTCCTTTGTATATTTCTCTGTCATTTAGACATTAATTACAATAAACATGAATATCATCCATAAAATTGTGTATGTACATTCACGTGCACATACACACACACACACACACACACACACACACACACAAAATGTAAATATATTATAACACAATGCATATATTTTTTTTCATTTTTGTGTGTCACTTGCTCAATGAACCATCTGATGGATCTATATTATCCTGAACTGTATGGAAAAAGATGATGCCAATTTTGACAGAACCACTGATCATGAACATTAGAAAAACCATTTCACTACAATTATGAAGAGGAAATTATCAGTAGTAGTAGTAGTAAATAAGTATAAAATAATTCTAATAAATCAATTCTACATTGCAAATTAAGTTTATGTTATTGTGACTACTATGATCACCTCAGTGCTTACCATTCCCCCATCATTGCTACTTTATGTTTCTGTAGGAATGTTAATCCACAATCCATTCTCTTGAAGATCTCTCTCTTCCTCTCTTTCCCTCCCTCCCTCCCCCTCCCTTTCCCCCTCCCCTTGTGTGTGTGTGTGTACAGCATTCACACAACTTTCCCTTTCCTCTGCTTCCTTTCTGTTTAAGTTGATTATAGTCTTTACCGCTGTGTTTCAATAAGGCAATTAAAGTACTTCTACTTTTTTATATGGTGCATAAATCTTTGTCTGCAGTTTTCATGGTTTTGTCACAACTTCCTCAGGATTCTTTCAAAGCCCTCTAGATCAAGCTTGTCATGGTTCAGCCAAATCCTTTTTTTAACCAATTATTTCTTCTGAAGTAGAAGACAACTCAGAGATACAAATACCACCTGAGCCCCATATTCTTGAACTTCTTGCCTAGATGTTATAAGGTGATACAGATGTAGCTGGCATTATCAGTTTATTTCTACAAAGATTAGTAGAGGGGATCATTGTCTGTGAATTTGATAAGCACTGGAAATTGTTCTGTCACATCCCTAATCCATGCTCTTGACAAATCGCATTCTTCACAAGTCACTGAGTTCAATCAGCATGTTTGTTTCAGCAATAAATTGTCAAATATCACAACTCTTCTTTTTACCTTCCTTCAGGATGCAGATAACATCTCTTATTCGACATACAATGAAGAGTCACTTTAATAATATGCACAGAGGCTCTCATATTTTCAAAAATAACTCTAGAGTTCTTTGTCCTGTAGCAGAATATGTTTCTCTACATATTGTTGGGAATAAAATGAGTTAATTTTTCATTCATACACTATGTTTTATCATTCATCTACTATGTATAGAAAACCCTGGTAATGATAAACTATTAAAAGAATTAGCAGAACTGACCAGATTGAAAGCTTGGTATGATACTTGTTGGGAAAGATACTGCTTTGATAACTTCTTGCTTGCCTTCCTCCCCTATACACTTATAGTTAGAAAACAAACAAACAAAAAATGCTTGGATATACATATATCCTATATCCTATATATCATATATCATCCCTTCACAACATTTTACCAGAAAATTCAAGTATGCTAGCTGGTTTGGCTACCAGCTGGTCTTGAAATTCTGTAAAGAAAGAAAAATAAGAAAGTGGTTCCTCACCAGGTGAACAATCACAGTTGCAATATTTTCCCTCATAATTAAATAACTTCTTACTAGAGACGTGAACCTTTAGAGTAGACACTCACAAAA